TGGTAGAGCACTAGCCTTGAGTTGAAGAGCTGAGGGACAGTTCAGACCCCATGACCAGCCCCCCCAAAATGAATTTAAAAAATCTATGTGTGAATATATACATATATAATATAAATATAAATGTATGTATAGTCATATATAATTATATATACTATATATTATATAATATATATAATATATTTTATATAACATATATATTCATATATAAATATATGTATATATAGTCGGTTTCTCCATCCTATCTCATTTCTGTATGCCCAGCCCCCACACAAAGATAATCGCTGTAATTAGTTTTATTATCTATCTCAAAAGATGCTCAGACTGTAAAATAACAGAAAAGAATCTTTTAGAGGTAATTACCATGGAGAAGCCTGTCCCTCCTGAAGAAGCTTACTTTTCTTCTCTGTTACTCCTCAGTAGCTGTGCCACTGAAACATTAAAACTATCCTTTTGAAGTGCTTAGAATAGTCTCTTACACACAGTAAATTTTGAGTCAAATATAAATAAAAATAATTAAAACTGAATACAGAGAAATTGACATCTCTAAAAATCAGATCAGTCCAAGTAAAAACTGAATCCTACACTATGATCTTTCTTAATGTATAATTGTTGAATTAACTTCTTTCCTGCATATGTAAGTGGTTGCTAATCTATATAACCTCTTTCATTTTAAAGATTCACCGGTTCTCAGTCCAGCTAATTCTGCAATCAATTTAAGTGGAGCTCAGGACCTGACCCGGAATAAGAATGTTGTGAAACCTCTGGCTTTATCCTTGCAGGTGGTAGGGAAGACTTTTGCTGCAGGTGATGTTTTTCTTAATTATATTTCTTTGGTAAATCCATAGTCTACAAAAAGACTCATGTGGATTTAGTTGACAAATTGATCATAGAAACAGAAGGTGCTCTGCCTGCTAGTTGGAAACAAGAGTAGAGCTGTCTCTAAAAATGTAATTTTATACAGAGCTTTTTGTCCTCTGTTTTTTTCAGCTGGAAGAGTTAAGTAATATTTAGCACACAGAGGAGACAATGTGGTTTGATTCTGTTCAACAAACATACCTTGAGCTACTGCTCTGACTAGGAACTGAGGTTATAAAAATAAATAAAGGATAATGCCTATCTCCAAATGTCCTTATAATCTAATGGGGAGACAGATATTTTCAGTGTCCTGCAGTCCTGCATTTTACAGAGTAGTAATCAAGAATGGGTTCTAGGAGGAGCATGGTCTTTACACATGAGGAGACATGCACTGTATTAACAAGTAGAGGAAAGACATTTCAAATTCAGGGGCCAATAGAAACAAAAGTTAAAAGGAAATGAAGGAAAATTGGGTATGGTGATGAACACCTATATAATGCCACCACTGGAGGCTGAGGTAGGAGGATGCCAAGATGGAGGCTAGCTTGGGATATATAATGAAAACCTATCTCAAAAAAAAAAAAAAAAGGAAGGGGAGAGGAGAAAAAGGAACAGGACAAAATAGCATGACATGTGCAAAAACTTCTAGCAGTCTTGACTTGTAAGAGCTATAAAATATACAATTCAGAATGTCCAGAGGTGGGCAAGTGATAGATAAGGGAACTCTTGAGAAGGCAGGCTGAGAAGCATGGGTTTGACTCTAACTTACAGAGCAGAGGAGTGACATAGTCTGGCTTGAACTTGAACTAGATCATTTTGTCAGTAGTATGTAAGAAGACAAGAGGTAGAAACATTGGTTGGAGTGCATTTGAATAGTCTAAGAAATGATGAGGTCCTTGACCAGAGTGATAACTTGGAGAGGAGGAGACAAAGTGAAGAACTACATAGAAAGTCAAATCAGCCAGATTTATTGATCAATGTGAGCATAAAGGAGAAGACATCTCAACTGACATCCATCTCTTTGGACTAAAATTGTTATTGCCTGAGACAGGAAATGTGGAAGGAGGAGTTGATTTTTCCAGGAGGAGGTTGACTGGATATTTTGAGCCCGAGTTACCCTGAGACATCTAGTTGGAGCTGTTTAGTAGTTGTTTAATTTACCATAGGGAGAAATCAGAACTCTTGATATAAAGGTGAGATAGCAACGAGTAGGAAATATCATCAGGGTAAATAACATCAGGCAAGGAGAAATACAGGAGAAGGCAGATTGTAAACTATGGATGGAGTCCCAGAAACGTCTGATGTTGAAGGAGAAGTGAAGTGGTAGTAGGAGAAGTAAACAACACGGAGATAAGAGTACCTGTTGTTTTAAGAAATTTTCACATTAGGCATCATCATGTATGGAACCTACCTTGATTCTTACTTCATCTCCATAACTTTATTTTAATTTTTTATTATTATAAAGGTGATGTACAGAGAGGTAACAGTTATGTAAGTCAGGTAATAAGTACATTTCTTTCTTTCTTTCTTTCTTTCTTTTTGGGTTCGGTCGTGGGGCCTGAACTCTGGGCCTGGGCGCTGTCCCTCAGCTCTTCAGCTCAAGGCTAGCGCTCTACTACTTGAGCCACAGCACCACTTCCGGCTTTTTTCTTTTTGCTTATGTGATGCTGAGGAATCGAACCCAGGGCCTCAGGCATGCAAGGCAAGCGCTCTACCACTGAGCCACCTTCCCAGCCCCATAAGTACATTTCTTTTTGAACAATGTCACTCCTTCCCTTGCTCTCTCACAGTGTTTTTCCTCCCATCCTCCCCCCCAACAAGTTGTATAGTTCAGTTTCTATATAGTATCTAGTGAGTACCACTGCTGCATTTGTTCACTGTTTTCCCTCTATTTTTATTTGCCCCTCCTTGCCTTCCCAAATACAGACAAATAAAACAAAAACAACAGCCAAGAAACTTCCATTTCCTAGAGTTAATTTTGGTAAATTTATTTTTTTAAGAATAGAGGCACATAGGCATTGAATCTTTGTGTTTTCCTCTAAGACTATCTTCCTTTGATCTCAGACTCTTTAGAGTCCTATATAATTAGAGATAGAATTTATATTCAATTTGTTTTGGCAAAAGAATCACATGAGTACTACTGTCTACTTCCATGAGAAATCATGAGTGGTATATAATTTATCATACCCTGAGGTATTTTAGATCTAGTTTCCACATATTAGAGAAAATATATGCTGTTTGTCTCTCTGAGCTTGACTTACCTCACTTAAGATGATTTGTTCTAGGTCCATCCATTTTCCTACAAATGACATAATATTATTCTTTCTAATGGCTGTGTAAAATTACATTGTATATAGGTACCACATTGTTTTGGATCCACACAACTATGGTAGGGCATCTGAGCTGTAGCCATAACTTGGCTATTGTGAATAGTACAGAAATGAACATCATCCCCATAACTTTTGCAGGACCTACTTCTAGTTTAATTACACACTTGAAAAAATTTAATTCAAGTTTTGGCAGCATTTAAAAAAAAATCATGAGCCATGTACCAATGTAATCCTAGCTACTCAGGAGGCTGTGTTGTGGAGATTCTTGGATTGAAGCCAGCTGGGGCAGATAGCTTCATGTTTAATTAACCAACAAAAAGTTAGATTGGAGGCATAGCACAAGTGGTAGAGCACCAGCAGTGAGCAAGCTGATTAAAAGAATGAGGAATAATCTTCATGGTTACTAAGATCATTTGATGAAAGGATGATACCACTGTATGCAATGGTTAGGCTGACAACTCTTGATATTATAAGAATTAATCACTCTAATTATCACAGGAAGTGAGAAAACTATTCATTACGTGCCTCCCTGTGGAAGCATACAATACTACTTTAGAGATTCGTTTGCCAAAACAAATTGAATGTAAATTCTATCTCTAACAATTCCTTTCTTGAAAATATAGAGGACAAAGGAATATTAACTGACACCATAAGCATCCAATCAGTAAAGTCCAGTAAAAGGACTTTCCAGTAAATGCAAAAAGAAAATCTTCAGATTAAAAGACATAAAGTATATGTTAACTGATTCCAAATGTGTAGAAAACCAATTTGAGTAAGTCAGCTTTAAAACTCCATTTCTGAAATACTTGAGAGAAAATAGGATACTGGTGATGTTAAGAAATTAGTAATCATTGTTAAAATTTCAGTATAATAATAGTAGTTTTTACTAGAGTCCTACTACTTACTACTTTACTAGAGTCCTACCAGTACTACTTATGGATGAAATTATCTGATGAATGAATTTGCTTCCAAATAATCCAGTAGACATGTGAGTGTAGGTATAGGGGAAAGAGGAACCGTGTACACAGGAAGCCAGTGGGCTCTATCAATAAATTTTGAAGTTAGATGGTGAGCAAGTGGAACTTTATCATACAAGCTCACAAACTAAAATAATAATGTTAGTGCCTCTACCTTTCCAGTCACTTTCTTCAAAGACTGTATTGAAAATGATTCTGTAGATTCCCTGGGATCCTAGGAAAATTTTAGGTGACGTTTAATCTTTTATTACCTTTCCCCCGAGTACTAGGTCTTATCCTCCTGAGTAGCTAGGATTCCTGGTATAAATCAACAGCGCCAGCTAATTTATTCTTTTTAATTGACATAGGACCTTTTTTTTTTTTTTGGCAGTATTGGAAATTTAACTCAGGACCTAGTTTGCCAGGCAGGTACTTTACCACTTGAGTCATGCCCCAGCTCTTTTCTGCTCTAGTTATATTTCATATAGGGTCTGTCATTCTTTTTCCTGGGCCAACTCCTAATATCTCTGATGTAGCATGTATACAACACTTGGATTATGACTGAGATAGGTAGGGTCTTGCTGACTTTTGTCATTAGACTGGCTTCAAACTGTGGTCCTCTTGATCTCCGCCTCCTAAGTTACTATGATTGCAGACATGAGCCGCCACCCAGCCATGACATTTACTTTTAAGAAGGCACCACTCTAATGATTGTAGGTGTTTCTATGCAACTGGGCTGAATTGTCTTGCTGAGATTTCCTTGAATCCTCATTTATAAGTTTTATCAGCTGGTTGCAACCCCACAGAAAGAAATGGTCTGCCAACTTCTGTTCTGATTGGCTCTTCTCTTATTCTACAGAGGCTGCAAATGGGAACAGTAGTCAAGGAGGGAAGACTAGCACACCCAGCTCCACTCCAGCCCGCCCAGGGAACTACTCCTTGTCACCAAGACCTAGCTATGCATCTGCAGACCAAGGTACAGCACCCATCTTAGAGTTTTCCAATAATGTGTCTCATTATCATAGAAGCACTATAGAATCTTGAACAATGAATTATCTGACAACATACTCTAGAGTTTGCCCTTTACTTGTCGCATAATGTTTTGAAGTTTTACAATTGGTGTGAAAAGTAATAATTAAATGTTTAGTGAGTCTATGTGAAATACCCAAGTAAATGTTGAAATGGGTGTGTAATGAAACATCTTGGGAAGAAAAAAAAGAAAACATGAGCTATACTGACCAAAATAAAGGACTTAAAGTCCCTCTTTCTTCTGTATCCCTGAGCAAATAGGAGCCTTCCTTTCTCCATCCACAAAATAGATATATCAGTAACATCTTACAAGCTCACAGAGATATTGATAGAATCCAATGAAACAATATGGCTAAAATTGTACATCCTAAACAACATTTAGATGTTAGGTGGTTCTTAATGTGATACTGGTTTGCTAGTATAACTTTTTAAAGCTTATCTTTACCTCTAGAAGAGAGACTTAGTTCTTCTAAGTAAATACAGCCCTATATTACTTTGGTATTCTCTCTTCCTTCTATATTGCTGAGGACAAAACTATCTTTCTTTTTTGTCTTCAGCTACCATGTTCATTTCTGGACCACCAAAGAAACGACACCGTGGATGGTACCCTGGGTCACCAGTACCCCAACCTGGTTTAGTTCTACCTGTTCCTACAATTCGCCCTCTTTCAAGAACTGGTAAGATTTTTTTTTTTGGTCAGTTGTGGGTCTTGAACTCTGGGCCTGGATGCTAGCCCTGAGCTCTTCAGCTCAAGGCAAGCGCTCTACCACTTGAGCCACAGTGCCATTTCTGGATTTCTGTTGGTTAATTGGAGATAACAGTCTCATGGACTTTCCTGCCTTGGCTGACTTTGAACCATGATCCTCAGATCTCAGCCTCCTGAATAGCTAGGATTACAGGTCTGAGCCACCAGCACCCAGCTGGTAAGATTTTTAAATAAGATGGGTCTTAAAGTTGCTTCGAAATTTGCATATAGATCTTTTTCTTTAGAAAATCTATTACATTTATAACCCATTTAGTTTTTTTTAACCTTCCAAATTAAGAAGAAAATAGTCTGATATAGTTTTTTCTAAAACTACCATTTGAATGAAATCAGAGGCCAAAGAAAAAAATAAAAATAAAATAAAAAATAAAATAAAAATTAGACATGACTCACAAGTATATGATGATAAAAATACAATAAACAAAAATATATCAATTGCAACTTATGTCATCTTTAGGCTATTAATAGGTTAGATGACAAGTATATAAAACCACAAATGAGATAAGACCCAGTGATTCATTAACAAGTAGAAAATTAGTACATGAATTCTAAAGTAAATTGGCACTAACAACAAAGATAAAGTAACAAAATAGAAAAGTAAACATGTAATAATACATTGTAACAACCCAGCATAACAATAGAATGTAATAATCAAATGTAACCATGCAATGTTACAGAAGGTAGTTCTTTCCAAAGGCCAAATATAACTAGTAAATCTTTAGTATACCTACATAAAAAAAACATGATTAGGGCTAAATTGCATATGTATCTTTTCTTCTGTATTTCCTCTGAATTCTTGAAGATAAATTTTCTTAATGATTATATAGTAAAAGGATAGTGATAGCACTTTGTCTCTGTCACATCTACCTTCCCTCCAAGCACATGGGCCATCACAACTGATCTTAACCTTTAGCTTAGTTTTAGCCCATGTCATTGACAAGTCATTCATTATGTTGTGCATGATGCTACCAACACACCATCACAGATGGACTTGCTTTGTTAGTCATGGTGTTAGATTTGCACTTCTGTGATCTGGTTGTTAATTCTGTCCTGGATGCCTCATTCTGTGGCTAGAATCTGAAAAAGCAACTGGTTCTTGTTCATCCTACCCAAACTGTGGCCATTTGGTGTCCGCAAACATTTGTCTGCCTTGTTGTACTAAAGAGCCAATTCTAAGACACCAGGGAAATCCTTCTATGTTTAAAGAAGACTAAATAGAGACCTTGTATATGCAAAGAATCATGCTAATATGTTACTATAGTTGCTTCTAGGTAGTACTGATTAATGATAACTTTATCCTCCTCCAACTTTTTCTGTTCCTTACCAAATTTATATAATGGGAAAATATACCTTTGGTAATGTGGGGGGAAATACAAAAATAAAGCAGAATCAAAAAGACTTCATGAAGAAGAAACAACTGGGAAAAACTGATAAATGAATGGTAGATACCTGATGATATGATTATGGAGTATATCGTATGGATTTCTTCCTTTCTTTGTTCTTCTTTTAATTTTATATAATACACATTAATTACATTACTAAAAAACAGTAAACCACTAGACTTTTAACATTTCTATATTAAAAGTATTAAAACTACATTGCCTTCCATTATTTTTCATTTAGCTTCTATGTCTAATCCTTCAAACAACTTTTTTTTTTCAGAGCCCCTTTTATCTGCCCCAGTTCCACAGACCCCATTAACTGGAATTTTACAACCTCGGCCCATTCCTGCAGGGGAAACTGTAATTGTTCCTGAAAACCTGCTAAGTAACTCAGGCGTTAGACCTGTAATTCTGATAGGTAAGGGAAGGAATTCCAACTTGCCTGTGTCTTCTGGAATCTTGGAATGTGCCTCTGTTTCATCATTCGTGGGTTTATTCATGCTCTCATGGGTGTGTATTCATTTATCACATGATTGATTTTTTCAGCTTTTATTGGTTAGCTCCTTCATGCAGTATTAAACATGTGTTAAACATTAGAAGTTGAAAATAAGGCAAAGTCTTCTTGCCCGAGAAGAGCACCATCTGACCCCTACTAACCATGGTGGTCAGTAAACAAGCATTGTAGCCTACTGGGATAAGTGAACTGGCAGAGGTTCACAACCAAGACCTACAAGAACTCACCTCCATTCCTTTGAAGCAATGTTTGAGCTAATAGTAGACAGGAAGGAGAATGGGACATTCCAGTCAAAGGAAACCAAACAATAGAGGAAAAGAACAAGCTAAGCCAGTTAACAGATCTCACTAAAGAGACCCAAGAAGTCCCACAGTAATAGGTGTGAACCATGGGGAAGTACCTGTGAGTCAATATTTTTATAGAGTTTGTCTTTCCAGGCTGTTGTTAAATGAAAGTACAGAAATTTAGAAGTCACTAGATTCTAGCACTAATTGTCTCTCATTCCTCCCATCTGAAGTCTCAGTTTGAGGCAGGCCTAGGCCAAAAGGAGATTGTCTGCTTTCCCTCCAGGATAAAGCAGGTGGGGTGTGTTTATATGAGTTGTTATCTATGCTTGTGGTTGGCCTGAGCCTACTAACTGGGAGGGTCTTGCTTCAAGCTCTGTGCTTTATCAGGACAGAACTCTGGAAGTTCCCTAAGAAAGATACCAAGAACATATCAACCCTTTGGTCTTTTGGTGCCTGTGTTTTAGAAAGTCTCATAGAGTGACTGTTCTTTCCACAACCAGCATTTATTTTCCACTTATTTAATTCTATCTTTTTAAAATTCTAATTGGGGTCTGTTTTCTGGCATTCAGGGAAAGAAAAACTAAAGAATTCACTAATACAAAAAAGAGGTGGAGGATCTCTACTAAGCACCTGCCACTGGTACAATATTGCTGATAGCATAAGTTTTTCCCTCGGAAAATGAAAAACGTTGCGGTTTGTTTTTCTTTTTTTGAAAAGAAATTTGACCAGGAACTTTACCAGAAAACATTTTATCACAGTTTTGCAAAGGATGAAGAGATGTTTTCCATCTTATCAATCTTCTATGGCAGAGCTATAATATTAACATGCCTCTGCTATGGGAAGTGGACATAATATAATTAGAGTATTTTGCTTTGTGTCCATCTCACTTACTATAGACATAGAACTTAGAGCATCCAATTGAATTCCCTAGGATAGATACCTTTGAGTGATTTGTTTGATAGCTATCTGAGAGGGCAGGGAATTTTGTTGAGCTCCCTTGCTGCTCATGAAGCAAGTGTTCATGGTTGGACCACAGAGAGAAATGTTGAACTATGTTGACCTGCTTCTGTTGGGGCAGGCTATGGCACTTTACCCTATTTCTATGGAAATGTTGGTGACATTGTTGTGAGTCCTCTGCTGGTGAATTGCTACAAGATTCCACAGTTGGAAAACAAAGATTTGGAACAATTGGGGTTGACTAGTAGCCAGCTCCTGAGCGTGGAAAACATGATCCTTCTGACCATCCAGTACCTTGTGCGCCTGGGTAAGTATTTTCCTTAGTCACTGGCTGGTGATTATTATTATTATTATTATTATCCATACTGTTTTCTTTCTTTTCTGAATTTATTCACCTTCCTGCCTTGTATTTCCTTCTTTCATTTCTAACATTCTTTTCCACCAGCCCAGTTTCTATGACTTTCCTGTTTCCTCCATTGCTTTGCTCTTTTCCTTTTCTTTTTGCTTCTTTGGTTCTTTATAGAGGTGAATTGCTCCACCTAGTGTCCAGTCTTATGATGCTCCTCAAAGTAGCTGATGGAGGCAAAACCTTAGAGGGTTGTGCTGTGGGACACCCTTCTCCCTGGGGAGTCTAGCCAGCAGCCTTTCCCAAAGCACAGCAACTCTCTGGAATGCAAATACAATCTTTGCCTTAGACAATTGTTTTCCAGTTTTCCACATAGCCTTTTAACCTTGCATATCCACTGCCCCTTGCCCATTTTTTATTTCTCCTTTGATGTAGTCTCATGATGTTGATGCTTTCCTTCATGTAAGTAGTAACTTTGGGCTTCCCTGGAGGGTTCTATGGGGTAAGGGGGGTACATAGGTCATGAACCCTTCACTTCCTCTTAACCCCACAGTGGGTATATGCAGGTGTCCTGACAATACTGTAGAGATTCAGCAGCATTTACATTGAAATGTCCTTTATTTTGCAAACTGCAGTAAGCCATTGATTATGCAGCCTAATTACACATTCACTCCAGAATTTCAAGCCACTGATGTACTTGGATGGATGTTTGAAGTGTAAAATCACAACATAAATATATTTGTGCATAGTCATAAGTTTATTTAGTATTAGAAAATAGTTTGTTGTTAAGAAATGATTTCTTAAAAATACCGGGATAAACAGTGTTTTTTTTTAAAAAAAAAAAAGTTTTAGCAAGCTAGAGTCAGCCTCTAGAACATTCCATTGCAACTGTGGCTAGAACACTTAAGAGGCTGACTTCACATGGACTCCACTTTGACAAAAGTTTTTGAGACCTGCAGGGCCTCAGCTTTTCCAAGGGAGCCACTTTCATGACAAACCTAGGACTTGTAAATCAGACTACTGGTAGGTAATAAAGTTAAAAACTCACCTGTCTTTAGATCATTTGATGTCATAGTTTTAGGTAAGCACTGTTCTACTTGAGCCATACCTTCAGTCCAAATGTTACAGCTTTGCTACATACTGACTTTGAACTACAGACAGTTTCTGAGACCTAAAAGTTGCTTCTAGATGCTTCCAGCAATGTTCTAGAGCCAATCACTATGTCATTTTGTTCAACCTTAATAACAATTTTAAAGAAACAAAGTCCAGGTTAATTAAATATCCTGTATGATCAAAATAAAATACCTTCTTTTAAATTATTAAAACTTTTTCTCTTAGAAAATTTCACTTAAATTATATGAGACCCTTTTCTGTCATGATCAATTTTCTCCACAATTTTACTTTCCATTAGGTCTCTCAAAATGGAACATGAATAGATAGGTCTTTCTTCTGTTTTTATGTAAATATAGTCCATTGGAATTTCTCTGCTCTTCAACTAACTATTCTGGAGTCCTTCAAAAACGTTTTTGTTTGTCCCCACAGATCTTGAGAAGGCAGCAAGAATGTTTTCACTTATTCCATAGATGATTGACATTTTTTTAAAAATGCAAGTTTTTTAAAGCATGATTTTAATGGCTCAGTAACCCAGTTCCTGAGAGGTAACAGAGAAACAGAATAAGATTCTCCAAGAACAGGCTTCTCTGATAGTCACTTCTAAAAAACCTTTTTCTGTTATTTTACAATCTGTACATCTTTTGAGACAGATAATGAAATCATCAAATCCCGAAACTGTTGGAGGATTGCAAGTCTGTTAGAAGCCTGTTTTTTCACATCAAGATAGCTCTATCTGAAAAGCCATCAGACTGATGTCTGGGTTGCATTGAACTCCTAAAGATGGATGAGTTCTTAACAGGAAGAACTTGCTCTTATCAAGCTTGGAAAATGTGGAGAAAAGGCTCCTGTAATTTACTGTAAAGGCTGAAAATGAGGTAGTCATGGTTGATGACTAGAAGAAATATATTTTGTTCCAAGAAATCTCTTCCCTTGTTTAAGCTTCAATACATTTTCCCTATTTTTGATTTGTAGCTTTAGATTCAATCGAAACCCTCCAGAAGTGAGTTGTAAGATAACAGAGAATGCTGGGAAAATGTTGGATAATTTTAATTTCTCAAAATTCCTTTATATTTGGATTTAATTAATAGGACATGTTGCTCAATCCTAGTTTGGAATGGTTCTTAAGGATACCACTATGAACTACCTAGGCCTCTGAGATTGCAGGTTGTCAATTAGATATAGGAAATTAGAGACAAGGCTACTCGCTTTTTGGCTGCCATAAGTTCTGGTGGGACAAAGCTTTAAATAGATGATCATCTTTGAATCATTTAATATAGTCAGTACAAATCTAGCCACTTTGAGCTCAGTAATATATAGTTATGGGGTGGGGGTTAGCTCAGTGGAAAAGCACTTGCCTGGAAAGTGCAGGGCTTTGAGTTTGATTTTCAGCTTTACATAATAATTACAATAACAGTAATAATAATAAAAATTGTTACTACTAACCATGATTTTAAGTAGATAAAGTGGAATGAAGATAAGAAACCTTATGATTCCCTAGTGATTTTGAAACAAAGCAAAACAAAAATACCCACCATCAGATTTCCTCTAGCAAGTAGTTGGGAGGACATCAGAAGTAAATAGCAGCACTGCCATCTTTAACCTGGGGTCTAATTCATGCTAGGCAAGCTAGCTCTACCATTGAGCTACACCCACAGCACTAGAAGCAAATTTAAGCATTCGGAATTTCTTGCTGTTTCTATGAATAGAAAACAAGCACTTATCTATGAGGATTCCACTCTTCTATCTCTCACCCAACCAGTCCTGGAAAACTTTTAATTATTTAAATTACTTTTCTTAATGTATGGTAGTTTATTTAATATCTCTTGACTTATAAAAGATGGCCAAACCTCCCGTTTCCTTTCTTTTCCAGAAAAGATGGGAAAGGGCCATTTTGAAGGGGGAGACTCTTAAATCCCCATGAGAGAAAGGAATGATTTCTGACTCCCTAAAGGTGACTTCTTCCAGACAGAAGTCCTGTTCTTATCTCTTGTGTTCTTTCATAAGGGGCCTTTAGCCCCAGGTTCTGAAGTCTGTGATCACAGATACTAAGGAGTCTGTGTCTATTGGCCAGAGCCCTTGAGTTTCAGATATCAGATTCACACAGTCAAAGAAATGACAGAGTGAGTGAATATATTCTCCCTGGTTTTAATTGAAATTAAATGTAGAAAGAAGGTTGGCTTCTTGTTTTATTAGTCTTTAACAATGTCCAGTATGTCAAAGTGAACAATTCAGGAAATATACTAACCATTATAACCATCCCACAGGACTTACAATGGAACTGATGCATGTTTTAGTATATTCTCCTTTAAGGATATTAGAAGTTAGGATGGGAATGTGGCTTATTGGTAGAATGCTTGCCTTGTATGCATGAAACCCCAGGTTCCATTTCTCAGTACCACATAAGCAGAAAAAGCCAGAAGTGGCACTGAGGCTCAAGTGGCAGAGCACTAGCCTTGAGCACAGAGCTCAAAGTCAGTGCCCAGGCCCTGAGTTCAAGCTCCAGGACAGGGGTGGGGGGGGGAGGCAGGGAAGTGGGAGGGAAATAGTGTAAGTAACATGGAAGAATAGGATTTGCTTTTATTGAGGCTGAAAGAGAGGAGAGAAGGAAATTTCACAATAAGGGATTATTAGGGATTCTGTGCTCAATATCACTGAGAGAAAATGCTTCCTTGCCAGTTGGAGTGTGGTAGGCTTAGAAGAATTGATGGATACTGTGTGTCTCTCTTTTCTACCTGTGATTTTTTTTTAACTTTAGCTGTAATTCTCTTCAATATAGGTCCTGATCAGATACCTCTCAGGGAGGAATTTGAGCAAATTATGCTGAAAGCTATGCAGGAATTTACTCTGAGAGAGCGGGCCCTGCAGATGGGAGCTTCGTGTACCCCAGTGTCTCCAGGACAACTCCCCTGGCTTGCTAGATTAATTGCCAGTGTGTCACAAGACTTGGTTCATGTGATTGTGACTCAAAACTCTTTAGCAGAGGGCATTTCAGAGACATTGCGGATTCTCAGTGAAATAAGACACTATCAAAGGTTGCCAGATTATGTGGTGGCAATTTGTGCATCAAAAATCAGAGGAAATGAGTTTTGTGTGGTGGTGTTAGGTGAGTAATATTTTGTTGTTGTTGTTGTTGTTGTTAATGAATTCATTCAGTCACCTGTCCATTTGAAAAAAATAGCCATGAAACATTTTAAGATATCCACATAATCAACCTCTGGTTAATTTCTTCAATTTCTATTCTTCCTCCAATTTTACTTTTTTTTTTTCTTTCCTCCTCAGATCAGTTGGTGTGGCACTCAGCTTGGCCAGTGTCCTTGTCAGCTGGTTATGGGCATTCTTTCAAAGCTTACCCTGTAATAGATACCCTTGTCTCATGTAACTTCTGTCCTTAAACGGTTTTAGAAATGTTACCACTCCAGCATGTGATAGAGCCAGTGCCACAGGTGGCTTATGCCAGTTAGTTACAATTGCCAGACACTTAGCTCATGAGTTCCTATGAGGTTCACCAGAGTTGATTTTATAACACTGACTCTAAATAGTGCAATTTTTTTTCCTTTGTGCAAATTTTCTACTAGGTACCATTATATGTAGCCAGTCAGACTGAGTTTTACTTCTCTCCTGTCTTAGTAAAACCCGCCTATAATTCTTTCTGTGTTATGTAAGTTTTCAGAAAACTTCATCAGATGGAATTGATACATTAATTTTATTTTATTCTCTAAAAACAATTTAGCAACAGAAATTTATATTTTAAAGATAATATTTATAATAACCATGTAAAACAATTTATAAAGTATTTTTATATGTTTTCACTGTTACAAACATATGGTACATAATTTTCTCTCTTGATCAACTAGCTTTATATTATGACCATTTTCTATTGCTGTCTAAAGTGTTCAAATCACCACTTCAAAGGCCGCTTACTTGTCCACATCCTTTGACCATCTTTTGGTCTACCATGATATTCTTTTTTTTTTTTTTTTGGCAGTCGTGGGTCTTGAACTCTAGGCCTGGGTGCTGTCCCTGAGCTCTTCAGCTCAAGGAGAGTGCTCTTGAGCCACAATGCCACTTTCAGTTTTCTGGAGCTTAATTGGAGATAAGAGTCTCACGGACCTTGCTGCCTGGTCTGGTTTTGAACCACACCCCTCAGATCTTAGCCTCCTAAGTAGTTAGGATTACAGGCGTGAGCCACTAGTACCTGGCTAGCAGGATATTCTTAATGGTTTATAGTTTACAACTGTGGCTGTTAGAATTAATGTTCCAGTGAGCATTTTTCCCTGATGAGTCATCTCTTCTCCTTTCTATCCTTCAGGCCAACATCAGTCCCGGGCTCTGGCAGAGAGTATGCTCACCACAAGTGAGTTTTTGAAAGAAATTAGTTATGAGCTCATCACAGGAAAGGTCAGTTTCCTGGCATCACATTTCAAAACCACGTCATTAGGTGAGTGGTTTTAAGATTCAGCAACACTGCCAGCCCCTAGCTTTGTGATTGTATGAATTTAAATGCTAACCTCTCAAGATAAGTATGGAGCTTAAGCTTGCCAGCTGATCGTTTGAAATGGTTTATCCTTAGTATTTTATGACTAACGTCACAGGAAGCAGCAGAGTTCAGAGGAAGGTGCATGGATACTCTGATCAAGGGTTCAGCTTAGCATGATTTTTGAATGACCTTGGGCATCTCTCCCAACCCCTCTCTCTCTTCTCTCTGCTCTTTTTCCTCTCTCTCTGTCTCCTTTCTGATATGTCACATGAAGGTAGAATAATATTCTGCCTGCTTTTGAATATGATTCAAGTGAAGAGATAGATACCCAGGGTGGGAAACATGCTAGATGGAAGCATGTACTCTAAGGATAGATTACTCTCAACAGTAGCTCTTGCCATTGAAACAGCAACATAGACATGGCTAGGTATAAACTTGGACATACATTGCTGGGTTACCATAGATCTTGTTGAGGCCACTGCCTAACTGCCTAATTTGGAGACTGATAAAGATACAAGTGTATCGCTTCTTGTAACCTTCTTATCTTTACTTTATTTGGACATAGGTGATGACCTGGATAAGCTACTCGAAAAAATGCAACAGAGAAGAGGAGACAGTGTGGTCACCCCTTTCAATGGAGATCTTAATGAATGTGTGTCACCCCAGGAGGCTGCTGCTATGATCCCTACCCAAAATCTGGGTAATGTTGCTTCAGTCTAAGAGACGGAAATAAGACATTGGGACAGATATTATTGAAGCTTAGGGTTTTGAGTCGTCTTCACATCACAGACTATAATAGGTTTTTGCTCCTGTCTACATGATAAATCTGGTTCAGATTAAAATTCATTTACCTTGGAGGGAGTGACACTGTTCAAAAAGAAATATACTTACTACCTGACATGTAATTATAACCCCGCTGTTATATCACCTTTGCAATAAAATTTAAATTAAAATAAAATAAAAAGCCCCCAAAATAAATAAAATAAAATTTAGTTACCTTGTAGCCTGGATTAAAGACCTTATTCTTAGTAAAAATTAATTAATTAAAAAATAAAACAAATAAGTCTCTTATAATTAAAACTGAGATCAAACACTCCAGCTTTTCTGTGGTTTATTTTGCTTTTGAGATAGTTCCTTTCTATGTAGCCCACAGGCTAGCCTGAAACTTGAAATCCTCCTACCTCAGTCTCCTGAGTACTGGGATTACAAGCATGTACCACACCTGGCTAAATACTTTATCTTAAACTAACCATCATTTTTCCATGGGAGATCCCAAGAGCCTCATTTTTCCCCCTTAGCTCTCTACTACTAGGTTGGCAAAGGCTTCAAAGAACTCCATGAAAGAATCTAGACTACAGACAACACACAGAGCCCCTGGCTGCTACTATGTCATATGCGTTTTTGTTTGTTTTGTCAGTCATGGAACTTGAACCTCAGCTCTTTAGCTCAAGGATAGCACTCTACCACTTGACCCACAGCACCACTTTTTTTTTCTGGTGGTTTATTGGAGATAAGAGTCTCAGGGACTTTCCTGCTCCGGCTGACTTTGAACCGCAATCCTCAGATCTCAGCCTCCTGAGTAGCTAGGATTACAGGTGTGAGCTACCAACATGTGCTGCATATGCCTTCTAACTTGTAAAAACCACAACCTCTGGAGGATGAAACTTTCCTGGCCACACCAACACATAATCTTCCCTACAACAAATCCCGGAGGCCAGGACCAAAGGCTAGGGATGAGGAGTCAAATCATTAGATTGGATTCCTTCTGGTTAAATTCCTTTCCAAATTCACTGATTGACAATACAAGATTGGAGAAGACAGGAAAAAGCACTAGAGAAACAAACCCACACAAGCTGTTGCTGACAGCCATTTGCTCCCCTCCCCATAGGAATGCATCATTTATATATCATTGTGTCAGGCAGTAAGGTAACGTGGCATCAACTCTGAGTAAAAAAACAAATGCAAATGAAATGTTTCGACTTCTGAGCTGTATTTGGTAGTAAAGCAACCATCCAGATGAACTAAAATGTGTTCCTATTAACTATTTTTGAGATGTTAACAAATACAGAACTTAAATTTTAAAGTACTTACCAATCCCCAAAGATATAGGTTCTCTGTTTGAGAATGTTACTTAAAGAAAATTTTATATATACATACATATATATATATATATATTTCATCAAACTTTAAATTTTACTAAGGTCCACAGATTTATGATTATGTTTAGTCTCTACTCAGCCAATCTGTGAAATAAAGGAAATAATATCCTAACTACATATTAGAAGACTGGCTTATTTTGCTTGGTAGTCTTCGTGAATAAGAAAAATCTCCTTGGCATACTATTAATTTTTTTTCTGTGTGTGGGGATCAAACACACATCATCCATACTACACAAGTGTGTTGCCTGAGCTACATTCCTGGCCATACTACTAAAATTTGCAGCTTTAGACTTTACCAGAGGGAAATACTACACCAATCTCTACTGATGGTCAGCCACAGTGTTATGACTGCTCTCTGCCTCAGCCATATCTTAGTTTGATTTTTAGATAACATTGACACAGGCTAATTAGGGCCTGGTGATTTTTATTTGGTCAGACTGCCAACATGTGTTCCTGATAATAGCAACAACAACAACAAAACTCTTTAAAGAACTTCTTTTAGGGCTGGGAAGGTGGCTCTGTGGTAGAGTGCTCGCCTCGCATGCATGAGGCCCTGGTTCGATTCCTCAGCACCATATAAGCAGAAAAAGCCGGAAGTGGTGCTGTGGCTCAAGTGGTAGACCACTTGCCTTGAGCTGAAGAGCTGAGGGACAGCGCCCAGGCCCAGAGTTCAGACCTCACAACCGACAAAAATAAATTACTTTAAAAAAAAAAAAGAACTTCTTTTAAAATTATTTTGCTAAGCTTGGTTCTTTCATTGTTTGTGTGATGGAGAAATGCTGTCACATATACCAGAGATTGATCACTTGATTACAATTTACAATAAAAAGTTTCTGATATGTATAGAGTACCTGGATAGTGTTTTGTAATCCGTCACCTGTTGGGAAGCCAGCTGGCTGTGCTACCTAGCAGGTCTCTTCAGATAGTCCTGGCAACAGGGCTGGCACTGACCAAGAGCACTTAGGCCTGCCAGGTCACAAGTGCTGGCAAAGTGGAGTGGGAAGAAAGAGAAGGGTGATGTTTCTGTGACCTTTGTTGTCCATTCCCCAGCAAGGGGATTTCAGGCCAGGTGGCAACTGACTTGCTGAAGCAGAAATGTTTACTATGGTGCCACCCAGAAAAGCCCAACAGAGCTCAGCATTATAGTTTCAGCATTGCCTCCTTCCCTGAGTGAGGTCTGAGGTGCCCCACTGTGTGTGAGATCACACACACACACACACACAGACACACACACACAGACACAGACACACACACACACACACACACACACACACACACACACACGGAAACTCCCTTTCCTATAGATGGCGCCTAGCTCTAGCTGTAATCATGCAGGAGTACCTTTGTGAAACTGCCACATCAACTCCTGAGCACGTTTTCTTAGCAAAATTTTTGGGGAAAATAGGCAAATCTACCAAAACTCAGTATCATATGAGAATAGTAAGCAAAAATTCTTCATGATAAAGCATTGTTTTTCCTGTGACATGTCCCATATGGAATTATAACAGCCATCATGGAAATAAAAAGTTAATCTTCTAATTTTTTTTCATTTTAGATTTAGACAATGAAAGCTTCCAAATTTATCAGCCACAGCTTACTGTTGCCAGAAAACTCTTATCCCAGGTATGTGCTATTGCTGACAGTGGCAGCCAGAGCCTGGACCTCGGCCACTTTAGCAAAGTGGACTTCATCATCATTGTCCCAAGATCGGAGGTTCTGGTCCAGCAAACTCTTCAACGGGTTCGACAATCAGGTAGGAGTGAACTTACCAAGTTCTCCACCAGTTTAGACCCCTCTGTCTCTTCCTTTTGCTTAACCCAGATATTTAGAGACTATGTAAAATATTCATCAATAATAAAAGTCACAAAAGCACTTTAAATTTTACTTCCAAATTATCTGTGAATTTTTTTCTAAGTACTCTGACCTTCTCTCTAAGATCAAGGGTAAATTAATGTGAACGTCAGCCAGATATTGTTAAGTCTGTGATGTTGTCTTTGGGACTGGAATTTGGTCATTTACTTAGGAAGAGAAATTTTCTCAAGACAAGCAGAATTTATAGGAAAGATGGAATTTGTGTCACTTGAACTGCTCATATGCCCAGAGAGGACATGCTCTCAGAGATAGATTCTTAGACATTTAGCACATTGTCAGCATATTTTCTTTTTTAAAATTATCTTTAAGTAATTGCACAAAGGTCAGAACACCATTCTCCTTGTCAATAATGAGTAGACTCATTTTAAAAAAATACTAAATTAGCTACTTGGAAGGTATAATAAGAAAGATCAAAGTTTTAGGGCAGCCCAGACAAAATGTTATTAGCAAGATCCCCATCTCAATTAATAAGCTGGGCATAGTGGTACACACGTGTGATCCCAGTTACATGAATAGTATAAATAAGATTGTGATCTGAGGCTTGTCCTAGTTAAAAAGGAGACCCTACCTGAAAAATGACTAAAGCAAAAAAAAAGGGAGGGCAGGGGAAAAAATAATCATGTGTAGAGCAGCTGCCTAACAAACACAAGGCTACAAGTTCAAACACCAGGAAAGAAAAAAACTAATTATTCCTAATAACTTTGAGAAACTGAGTATAAAGGAAATACATTGTCTGCAAAAAATATAAGAAGATGAGAAAGCAAAATTTCTACAAGTCTGTGATAAATAATAACTTTTGTTTGTTTGTTTTTGTTGGTCGTGGGGTTTGAACTCTGGGCCTGGGCGCTGTCCCTCAGCTCTTCAGCTCAAGGCGAGCGCTCTACCACTTGAGCAACAGCGCCACTTCCGGTTTTCTGGTATTTTATTGGAGATAGGAGTCTCAAGGTCTCTCCTGCCCGGGATGGCTTTGAACCGCGATCCTCAGATCTCAGCCTCCTGAGTAGCTAGGATTACAGGCGTGAGCCACCAGCGATCTTTTTTTTTGTTTTGTTTTGTTTTGTTTTTGGGTTCGGTCATGGGGCCTGAACTCTGGGCCTGGGCACTGTCCCTCAGCTCTTCAGCTCAAAGCTAGTGCTCTACCACTTGAGCCACAGCACCACTTCCAGCTTTTTTCTTTTTGCTTATGTGGTGCTGAGGAATCGAACCCAGGGCCTCATGCATGCAAGGCAAGCGCTCTACCACTGAGCCACCTTCCCAACCTAAATAATAACTTTTAAAAAATAAAATTTGCTTAAGCCGGGTGCCGGTAGCTCATGCCTATAATCCTAGCTACTTAGGAGGCTGAGATCTGAAGATCACTGTTCAAAGCCAGCCCAGGTATGAAAGTTTGTGGGATTCTTATCTCCAATAAACCACCAGAAAACCAGAAATGGTGCTGTGGCTCAACTGGTAGAGCGTGGCCTTGAGCTGAAGAGCTAAATGACAGCACCCAGGCCCAGAGTTCAAGCTCCATGACCAACAAAAAATTAAAAAATTAAATTAAAATTGCTTAAAACTAAAAGAAAGAAAGAATTTAGAAAATTGGGACAGTGCTAGCCTGTGCAAAACTAGGTTTGAAAAGAAAATTATATGGGGCTGGGGGTTTAGCTCAGTGGAAGGGCGTCCACCTGACAAGCACAAGGCCCTGGGTTCGGTCCTCAGCCCTGGAAAAGAAAAAGAAAATTATAAATATCAATTTCCTTTTTAGGACTTTATCTGTGAGAAATACACACACACACACACACACAATAGAGACAGACAGGAGAGGAGGAAATAGGACAGAGAGAGACAGACACAAGGCAAAGTCAGAGACAGAGGGGAGAGGTTTAGCTGGAGGATAATTTTTTTTTTTTTTTGTCGGTCATGAGGCCTGAACTCTGGGCCTGGGCGCTGTCCCTCAGCTCTTCAGCTCAAGGCTAGCGTTCTACCACTTGAGCCACAGCACCACTTCTGGCTTTTTTTTGCTTATGTGGTACTGAGTAATCAAACCCAGTGCCTCATGCAAGCAAGGCAAGTACTGTACCACTCCGCCACCTTCCCAGCCCTTGGACAATAAATCTTTGTGCCACATTAAATTTTTTTATTTTCAATACATTTGAAATAAGTGGCAGGAAAATGAATGAGTTCAAAACTGCAGGGCTGTGCTAGTCACCAGTAACTCACATCTGAAATTCTAGCTACTCAGGAGGCTGAGATTTTAGGATTGCAGTTCAAAGCCAGCCTGACAGGAAAGTCTGAGAGACTTGTCTCCAATAAACTACTACTAAAAACAAGCTAGAAGTGGAACTATGGCTCAAGTGGTAGAAGGCTAGGCTTGAGCAAAAAAGCTGAGTTCAAACATGGGAACCAGCACCCAGAAAAAAAAAAGTGCAGGGTTATATAAGAAATATTCTCAGGTGGCTCAGTGGTAGAGCGCATGCCTTGCATGCCAGAGGCCCTGGGTTCAATTCCTCAGCACCACATAAGCAAAAAAGAAAAAAGCTGGAAGTGGCACTGTGGCTCAAGTGGTAGAGCGCTAGCCTTGAGCTGAAGAGCTGAGGGACAGCAGTCAGGCCCAGAGTTCAGGCCCCATGACCGGACCCCCCCCCCAAAAAAAAAACAGAAATATTCTCTTGTTAATTTCAGTGGCTAAAGGAAACTCTCTCTGTGACTTCAACTAACACATGAGACATCTTGTCACAGCTGCTGGAACCTAGTGCGATTTCTTAGCCTCTAAATTTCTCAATGCCAAGTTACTAATTGACCTGTTAGAAATCTGACTTGCTGGACAAGAGAAGGCCCTCCCTCACAGCTCTCTCAGAAACCAGAGTGATCCCTCGATTTTGTCAGCCACTGGCCATTCTGCAATGGCGGGGCTTCCCCCACACCAAGTGGTAACCACACATTTTGTTATTCCTCACACATTCTCTGTTCCATTCATGGAGGGAGTGCCTTCTCTTTTAGGTATTTTAGTTGCACCAGTTGGTATTTGTGACCAGTCTCAGTTTGTAATCTGCTATCTTAAGTGATGCTTGAATAAACACATCATAGCAGCTATTTGAAGTGGTGAACTCATCTACAGGGCCTTTCCCAAAATAACCTCTCAGTGACCTGTACTTTTACCTTTCCTAATAAATGCAAACAGCTAAATAGAATCTTACATTTTTGAAAGATTCAGATATTGTATAGGGCTTTTGTTTTCCTCTTCTTAACACCTTCAGATTTTTCTTAGTTGTTTTAAGATTGTCATACCTTAGAAAAGTACCAGAATCTGACCAGTTAACCTAAATTGAAATTTAAAAGTCAATATTATGAACAGATTTGGAAAATTCAAGGCAAAACTGACTTTGAATTGCATCCCTCAGATCTCAGCCTCCTGCATAGCTAGGATCACAGGTGTGAACCACCACTTTTTTTTTTTTTTGTAATTTATTCAGGTCTAAAGCCAGGTACAGGTGGCTCACACCTGTAATCTTATTTACTCAGAAGGCTGAAATCTGAGGTTCAAAGCCAGCCTGGGAAGGAAAGTCCACAAGACTCTAATCTCCAATTAACCATCAAAAAGCTGCAAGTAGAGTTTGTGGTTCAAGCGGTAGAGCACCCAACAGCCTTGACTGAAAAAGCTGATGAACAGTACCCAGCCTTGAGTTCCCACCCCTTTATCAGCGTGCTTACACACACACACACACACACACACACACATTATCCAGATCTAGCTTTGACATACCTGCTAAAAATATTTACTGCAAAAACAATCACTTTTATGTATTTAAATTTATTGCCCATTTTTAGTATAGAAAAGAGCAGGACTATGATGCTGATTATGATTTTGAAAAGTAAAAGAAAATGGGAAAATGTAAACATTGTTGGGTTGAGGTGCTGCTTAATGGTTAAGTATGTACTCCTCATGCTTGAGGTGTTTGGTTCAATTCCCAGCACCAAAACACAATTTGCATTTGTAATCCCACTATGCAAGGATAACCAATATAAAAGTTTTGTTGTTAATAGATGACTTAAAACACCTGGTATCATTTGTCTTCTCCTGATATGATAGTGTGCATACTTTCCCATGTTACAAAAAGCCATTATAAGCAATACTCAATGCATAAACTTCTTTGTCTTGATATGAAATACTTTCATAGTTTAGGAACACACAGCAACTGACAGAAGAAAAAAGCCCATACACATGTTATGGTATAAAGAGAAATTTTCCAGAGACATATTTCCTAAATACTTAAGTGGGGATTGTTTTTATTAAAATAACTTAAATATCATGGCTATTAACACAAATGGAATTCCCAAGAAACCATCTGACTCCGTTTCCGTGCCATGATATGAATTAAGGAGAGCTTCACTTGAGTGAGGTCACAAGGGTCAATCTCTTGAGAATGAAGATCTATATTTGAATGGAGGGCCAGGGGGAGAGCAGGAAAAAATAATGCCCATGGGCTTTTCTTCTGATTTCACTTGCTCTTTCCCTTAAGAAAGCATTGCAGCTGCCAGCCGGCCAGGAAAAGCATCAGTCAGGGAAATAGGGCAGAGCATGCAGATAGGCCACATCCTTGGCAACCCACTGTGGCTGAAAGTAAAAAAGATGAAAATAGAAACGACTTCATTGTTTCAGACACAGCATTGAGGTGAAGCATGTGATGTACAACTCACTTTCCAATTAAGAAAGGAAGGAAGGGGGGAGTTCAGAGAAGAGGAGGAGGAGAAAGAGGAAGGGGAACAAGAAGAGGAGGAGCTCAGTACAGTGGCTATTCCTATAATCCTAGCTACTTGGGATATGGAGGTTGAGGTATTGGGATTTGAGGACAGTCTGGGGATGAAAGTTCACAAGACTCCATCTGAGTACAATGGCCT